ACAATGAGCGGGATAACGCCAAGGCCGTTCTTGCTGAGTGTAAGGAGTGGAAATGGGTCGACTGGCAAAGACCTTTTTGTGTTAAGAGGGGCGGCTGAGGTGCTGGGATGGCCAATCTCAGGGTGACCTGGTCGGTGTGGTCATGGGGATGAAGCTCTCTGAAGCAGTGTTGCTGCTCCTGGCTGAGGATGTCTTGGGGTCGTTATTTAGGCTGCTGTGTGACCAGAAGCTCTGAAAAACAGCAGCACAGTTGTCCTTGGAGCTTAGGGCTGGTGTTATATACAGTGTGTATATAAATAAATAGCGTGGAAAAAGTTGTTCATCTTCTCTTACAACAGGTTGGGGTTTTTTGGTGAGTTGCACTGTCCATTTTCCTTCTTAAATGGAATAACGCCCACACGCTGTGGTTGCGCAGGTCACTGCAGCAGGTGAGATAAGGCAGGGTAGTGCTGTGTACAGTGCTGCAGTCATTTGTGAAGAGCGTGGTCAGCGCACAACTCTGTGCACGTGTGTGTGATTTGTACACCACGTGTGTGTCTTGGTGTCACTGTCCCCGTGAGGGTGGATTTTCCGGCTGCCTTGGGAAGTGAGGCGCTTTCCCGCTGGGACGCAGCGTGTCCAGGAGAGCTGGGCTGGGGAATCGCCACAGCCCTGTGCTCTCTGGGCCTGTTTTGACACAGGAACAGCGCTTCCACACAACCACCCAACTCCTTCGGAGGGATTGTGGGTTTAGTACTGGGGCTGTGTCCACGGAGGACAGGTCCAGCAAAGCAAGCTGGTTTATTTTACTCTGATTTGCTGCTCCTGCAGAGTCGCTGCTGGCAGAACTGAGCCTGGGCGCTCTCGGTACCTCGGTTCTGCCTTGGGGAGGTACCCGTGTGAGCAAAATGAAGCTGTCTGAAAACACAAAGTGTTTCCTGACAACTGGTCTGTCCTAAGGTCGATATTTCCCCTGTTGGGATGTGTTTTATGTATTAGGATTCTGCAGTTTATTTTGGAAGATTCTTTAGTAATGAGCCCAGAGTGGCTGTTGAGTTCAGGAAGCTTGGACTTCCCCAGGTTTAAAATTAGCACCTTCCTCAGTCACAGAGCTGCTGCCCGAACGCGGGTGTCCCAGGAGAGGGGCCTCCTGCCAAGGAACTTTCCTCTGTTTACTCTTGGGCAATTCTCAAAGCCCAGACTGGAGCTGTGCGTGTTCCTGCCCGGCGAGAGCCTTGGTGTGGTGCAGTCCCCTCTCTACGCTGCTTTCCAGTCCTGTCTTCTGCTTTTTTGGGGAATAATGTGCGTTGTCGTGTGTTGAAGGCACATGTGAAGGAGCAAGAACATGAATGTGAAATGCAGGATGTTTTCAGTAGCCTTATTTTAGATAAGTGCACGTAGATAAGTATTGCTGGAATGCTGCAGAGCTTTAGTGGATATGTTTTGCAGTAGAGATGTCCTCTTTGAACTCCCTGCTGTCATTGCTTTGTGCAAGGTAAACTGGTCGTGGTGCTGTGTCCCCATGCAGGGCCGTGGGCTCTGGGGAAGGGGCACCTCTGTCACCACGTGGCAGCCCTCGCCCACACCCTCTGCCCGTCCTCCCAAAGCTGCAGAGGTTCCCCTGATCCCCGCAGTGCCTTTCCATCACTTTCCATCGTGGACAGGGTGCTGCCCTCCTGCTGAGCGCCGTGAAATGCTTGGTGTTAACATCTGTGAAGGACGGGGCAAGGGATGGGGCAGCGAGCTATCTGGAGCTGTAATGAAAGAGCTATTTAAGAAGTGGGTGTAACGAGCTCTTAATTAGCTACGTGCTAAAATAATGCTGCTCCAAATTCAAGTCAGCTTCTTGGAATGTGGACGGGAAGCTGAGCTGCTGACGAGTGCCAATGAGCTGGGCTGAGCTCGGTGCCTGCCTCGCTGGGCTCAGCACATTGCCCTGAAACGCCGGCTTCTCCCGCCCGTGTCTTTGCTTTCCTGTGCCAGCAGCACCCTTCCAAATGAATAAATAGGATTGCTTTGCTGTCGGGAGGTAACGAAATTCAGGATTTCTGGTTTCTAAGCTTACCTGCAGCGATGAGCTGCCAGTTGGTGAGATTTCTGGGTAAATTAGGTCTTGTCCAATGTCACCTCTTCAGCTCGCAAGTGGAGCTGAGGCAGGTGACTGAGCTTTGGTTCCTGGGAAGCTTCTTGGCTTTGCCTCCCGGTGTGTGCATTGGGTACTCAGCACCTAACTTCAGGTCCCTTCCAGAGCACTGGCTTGCACTCAGAGTCCATCGGCTTGGATCCGCAGTGGCGTTAGGACAAGACCACGCGTTCCCGTAACCCTGACCCAGGTCATTGTGAGGAAGAAGCTGCAGAGTTAGTGCTGGCAAAGCCTGCAGCTGCTGTCAGCAGGTCCCTCTGTAGAAAACGATGCATTTTCAGGATTTAGTTGACCCACGTAGTGTTTGGAACCAGGGATCACCCAGCTGGGTACGGGACGGTGGCCGTGAGCGGTGGGGGACGGTGAGGCGCGGTGGCTCAGGACCACCACGAGTCCTGACCGTGCTGGAGCTGAGCGCTGGTGGCAGAGTCACTGCACTCCCCACAGCCCGGGCTTTGAAAATCGACTGGGGAGCGTTTGAGGGCTTTGTCTGTGGGAAGAGTCTTTTGATAGCTCCTGTGCTCATCAGAAAAGCAGCGGTCGCTGGTCACAGACGTGGTCCTGTGACTGAGCAGCCGCTATTCCTGCCTCCAGCCAGGCCCTGCGCCCTCCTGCTCCCCGCTGTGTGCTCCCCTGTCCCGCAGCAGCGCGTGTTGGCTGCAGGCCTGCGTCTGGCACCGTCCTCCTGCGGCCAGCGCCGGGAGGGGGACGCGAGGGTTCCAAGGGACAGGGTCCTGCGGTGGTGGGACAGCACGGTCTGTTTGGAAATGGCTTCAGCTGCTGTCCCTTTCCACCAGTGGCTGTTTGACACTCGAGCATCCCCCGACACCCCAGAGTCTTGTAGTGTGTAATGGAAGGAGTTTGCCTGTTCACCGTCTGGCCTTTGTAACGGTATCGACCTGAGCTTTCTGGCTCTTTGAATAGGAGCTGCCTTTTCCATGGTAAGAACCGGTCCTGGAAGGCCTCGGGTAGTTCCCAAAAGCTGTGCCCTCGCTGTGGCAGGCAAATGGGTACGGGAGCATCTCTGGGGGTCTGTGTGAGCGGCTCTGTGCTCGTTACCTGAACGAGTAGAAAGTGTCTGTAAAAGAATCCTAATTACAACTTATTTTGTAGGATAACTGGGATGATGAGGAGGAAGAGGAGGAAGTAAAGGAGACAGAGGTAAAACAAGGTAAGATTTAAAAGGAATACGTGGCTCTGTGTGCAGGCCCTGGTTTTACTTGGATACATCTGAAGAACCAGAGCCGCTTTCCAGGTGGGGTGGGTTTTGGTTTTGACACAGCGTGTCCTTAACTCCCTGTGCTCCATCCCAGCCGGGCTCTGTGGCTTGGGTTCCTGCCTCTGTAGTTGCTGGAAGAAAATAATCGGTAGATCTTGAGTGCTGCATTGTTCAATGTTTTACAGAACCAAAAGTTTCAGAAAAAAAGAAAATAGCAGAAAAAATAAAAGAAAAAGAAAAGCTACAGAAGAAAAAGCAAGAGGAGCTTAAAAAAAGGGTAACTCCTTTTTTTTCTTCCAAGCCTCATAAAACTTAGAGGGCGGGTTTGATTTATTGGGTTTTTTGGGGACTTTTTGGCGGTTGAACGAGACCTGTAAAGATCTTTTCTGGTCTGACAGAACAAACCTGTCCTGTCCATATCCCGTCTGGGGGATGGCAGCTGCGGTTCCTCTGTGATTTAACCCGATCACTGAAATAACGCACATGGCTGGTTCTTCGTGTGCCCTGCGTGGGAAAACACGCAGTTGGGAAACTGAGCGCGAAGGTGTTTCTGCCCCTTCTTGTACAAGTCGTTAACCAGCAGCATCGCTGCACGGGGCTGGGGTGGTTTGCAGCTTTGGGTGTGCTGAGGTGTGCTGGCTCCAAGCTGTCCAAGTGATTTCTTGTACTGCCGAAGGGTTTGGAATATAACGTCCTCCCTGTGTGCGTTTTTGATTCAGTTGGAGGCACCGGAGGAGCAGAAAGAACTTACACCAGAAGAACAGTTAGCAGACAAATTACGGCTAAAGAAATTACAAGAGGAGTCCGACCTTGAGTTAGCAAAAGAAACCTTTGGTAAGCGTGCTGGGGGTGTTGGGTGAACGCAGCTGTGCCCTGGAAATAACCCTGTGCAGCAAGAACCGAGCGGGACCGGAGCGGTGGAGCACATGGGGGTTGTGTGGCTGGGGATGAGGGGGTTACACGCAGAGCGCTGGAGGCATGGCCGGTGTTGAGGGGAGCTGCAGGAGCCACAAACATCTCGAGAGCAGGAGGTGCTGCTTTGTACCAAGGCATGGCAGGGGGCAGAGGAAAAAGAGCTGGCTGCGTTTGCCGTTGTCTTGGTGCTTTGGTAAAAAGGTGAGCGTGGAAAATTAAAGAAGAAAAGAGAAATGCTGCCTTCAAATGTTCTGAGGTGCTTTATGACACAGGTTTAACGAGGCTTTGGGCGAGCGTGGCCCAGCGTAACTCACGCACGCTTTACACGAGGTGGTTTGTGTAGCAGGGCAGGTGCTGAGCAATTCGGTGCAATTCAGTGGGGTGAGCTGGCTTCCTGGCGCAGAGGAGCCTGGAGGAAATGGTTCTGGTTTGGGCTCTGACAGAACCAGCGGTGACACTGATTCACAGGCGTTCGGCAACCACGAGAGCGTTTCCTTGGTTCTGGTGCATTGCACAGCTGCTTGCTCAGCGAGAGCTCTGCTCTGGCAGCCGGCTGAAGGAGAGCAGCGCCCTGGGGCTGGGGTGCAGTGCGAAGAGGCAGCTGAGGAGCTCAGCACTCCCTCCTGTAAGGGGAGAGGGGCTTCACGCAGTGAAGCTTTGCAGCAAAACCTCTCCTGTCTGGGCCGGTAACTGGGGCTGGTTCAGCCTTTGGGCAGCAGGAGCTGGGGGAGGCGAGTGAGCAGAGCTGGGCTTTGGGGGGGTGAAGCTGCGGTGGAGGCGAGGAAGGGGACGTCCGCGAGGTCGCACGTGTTCCTGTCACCCTTTGGTGGTCACAGCTCGTGCTTTCTGTCATAACTGTGTCTGTCCTTGCAGGTGTAAATAACACTTGTGGAATAGATGCCATGAATCCCTCTTCAAAAGATGACTTTACGGAATTTGGCAAGCTACTAAAGGAGAAAATCACGCAGTACGAGAAGTCGTTACATTACGCCAGCTTCTTGGAAGCGTTAGTTCGAGACGTTTGTATTTCATGTAAGTGACATGAGCGGCATCCCAGACCACCCTGCTGCCAGAACTGTGATGGAGCTGGAGTTGAACAGTGCTGCTGTAGTGAATGTTAAATTGAGAGTGGGTTTTACTTATGAAGCACTGACCTGTTTCACTCACAAGTATCCGATTCCATGCCCCCAGACTTTACTGCAGGTCGTGTGTTTGTAGTTACTGGCTCTGTGTGTCAGCTAAAGACACTGATGCAGGGTGTGTTTTTCTGCTGGTTTAAGTCTTGCGTGTTTATCTTGAAGCCATTTCAATAGTAACAACAACAATGATGATAATACTCTGAGCCAGCTCACTGGAGCAGCTCATTTGGAAGGACACTTCTGAAGTTGAGTTCATGTGATTCTGGGACTGCAAAGTAAATGGCTCTGGAATGGAGCACGCACCTACCCAGAGATAAAACCACCTTAAACCCCGTTTTGCACTGCTCTGGCTGAAGTTCTGGGCGCGTTCCTGGCTCCAGAGCCTTTCCTGTGCCGCACACGCGCGGTCACTCGGTGCTGCCGGGTGCTGTGTCAACACAGGAGCTGCTAACACCTCGGGTGGGTTCCTGCTCCTCTCAGGTGAAGGATTCACCACCTCTTGGACCACTTATTGTTGACAATTTATTGATCCACTGCTCCTTTTGATGTGTTTTACTGTGTTACGCTGGGTCTGTATTTCACTGTTCAAATGCCAGCAGGGTTTTTGTGTTCACTGACTCCTGATTCGTGAGCTTCACCTTGCTCAGCATTCAGGCTGCTTACAGCGGCCATCTGAATTGGTGCTGGTGCTGACAAGGAGCTGAATTCCCCTGATTTAAATCAAGTAATTGCCCGTGCTCGTCGCTGCTGCATATTTCTCCTTGTCAGAGCACGCCAGTGTTCGATCATGTCATGGATTTCTAAGCACAATATTGACGAGGAATCTTCTTTTTTTGTTCTTTTTTTCCCTGATGCAGTGGAAGTCGATGATTTGAAAAAGATCACAAATACTTTGACAGTACTATGCAGTGAAAAACAAAAACAAGAAAAGGTAAGAGCTCTGCAGCAGCACCAGGGGCTTGTCTGGAGAGCGGGAGCACTCGGTTGTGTGGCTCATTTTGTTAGAGGCAGCAGCAGGGGGTGAGGTGATAACCCTGGGCACTGGCTTAGTTAAATCCTCTTCCCGGTGTGAGGTATCAGGAGCTCATTGAATCCAGAGATCACAGGCAAAACCTTCGTTAATTTAAACCTTGATTAATTTACATCAGTGTTACCTGCGTGCCAACCTTGTTCCTTGCCCATTTCCAGTAGTGTCAGTGTAACACCACTCTGTGGAGGTAACTTCTTAAATCTTTGCCAAGATTTGGGAGTTTGAATAGCAGATACCTGGGGTTTTTCTGCTGCTGTGCAATCTAAAGGAGCAGCAACTGCCCAGGCAAGGAGAGGAAGTTTTTAAAGTGATGTAGAAGCTTCAGTGGTGCTTGCAGGATGCGATACCTTGTGTTATAGCGTGATCTGGGCGGGCTGGAGCTCAGTGATGAAGTGAATCATTGGATAGCAGCAAAGTCAAGCAGCAGTGGTGGGGTCTTGTGGTGTGCTTTCAAGGAGGGCTGGTAGAAACAAGGGCAATGTAAAAGGGACAGCTCTGGACAGGGGTCCCATCCCCAGGCGTGAGCAAACACAAATCAACGTTTTGGTGTTCACCACTGGGGCTGGAGTTTGGCGAAGGCGCTGAGCTGTTTCTTTGGTGTGAGCTGTGACGACTGAACCAGGCAAGGTTACGAACGAAGAGCAGGTGTAATTGCTGTTTTCTGCTCTTTCCTCCTGGCTTTTCATGTGAATGAGTTTGGCCAACCACTGAAGGCTACAGCTACAGCTGCACCAGCGCTGCAGGGCAGAGCTTTACCATGAAACTTTCTGTAGTTGTTTAGGACTTCTGTATTTGTTCAGCTGCTGTGGAGGTTGAAGCCACATTGCATTGCTTCATTAAATCGGTAATTCCACAAAATTAAACACTAGGCTCTGCTTTTGCTGAAGTCATTTTACGTGTTCAGAGTCGGTAGGACTGGGTGAACAAGACCCGTGTGTGTGATGCAGGAGCTGAGGATGTCGGCCTTACCCGCACGGTGCGGTGCAGGCTGAGACGCAGGGGTAGAAATCTCAGCCACCAGCGCTCACTGCGGGGCACAGGGCTGCGTTACCCTCACGGGGGTAAGGACAAAGTGCTGGGGGTTTTAAAGTAAATGTGCTCTCCCTATTTAAGCAGAATAAAGCCAAAAAGAAGAAAAAAGGTGTTGTGCCTGGAGGAGGTTTGAAGGCGACTATGAAAGATGACCTGGCTGATTACGGAGGCTACGACGGAGAATACGTACAAGACTTTGAAGACTTCATGTGACATTTATCTCCCCTTCTGTTGTCTTTCTGTTGCCCATAATCCCTTAAACATGTAGCACAACTTTTCTTCCTTTAAATTCTGCCAAATGCTACAATCAGAATTGCAGTATCCCTGTGCTGGTGGGTGACCTCCCGAGGGCTCCGTGCTGCAGCACGGCTCTGGGGTGGAGGTGAGAACGGAGACGTGTAAAAGCTCTGTAAATTGCAGTGAAAACAAGAACCAAACCAACCCTCTGACGACGGTCACTATTTGATTTTCTAGTAACAGCCGCTAAATTGGAAACGCATGTCAAGATGGCAAAGTGTTATTCCCAGCACAGGTCAGCGATACGGCCTTAACTGTACCTCCCCGAGGGACTCGTGTGTGACCAGCAGCAGTTTGCAGCAAGGGCATGGTGTGCACGTAGCGTTACGATTGCTTTGTCTAAGGTAGAGCTTGAGGTTTGCAGTATTTTGTGAGGGGGGTGGCTGGCTCCAGCCTGGGGATGGGGTACCCAGGGATGGGGTCACGGAGACACCCCCCTGCTCCAGAGCCTGGCAGCGCCACGACACGCGGTGAGCGGGGACAGCAGAGAGTTGCTTGTTTGAAAATAATAACAAACCTACTTGTGTCTTGAGTATGAGGTTTAGTTTCCATTCGTGGGAATTTCTACTAACGCAGCTGTATGGGTTGGGTATTCCTTAACAGTTAATTGCCTGGGTTAAGTGTAAAGAAACCAAGACTTCCTTTTGGGCTCATGGGCTGTGGATCTTTCACCACTCAGCCATTTTCTTTCATTTAAAAAAAAAAAACCAAACAAACAAAACTTGCTTAGCAAACTGCAACAGTTACTACAGTTGGGCAAATTGTTATGTTAACAATTACGACATCTGCAATGTTTTATAAAAAGCAACTAATTTAATAAAAATCACTATTGAGGACTTCACCGCGGCTGCCTTTGGACCAGTTCTTACAGTGCGAGTACCTCAAGTGTGGAGCTGCAAACCAGGGGTGTTGGGGTGGGCCTGGGCTCTGCTCCTAGAACTGGAATTTTCAATGGGGTTTGGCTCAGGTGTAATCCTCACTACTCAATGTTTTACTGCTCAAAGGAGCCAACTCGTACTGCGTGTGCCTGTGCACAACTCCTGACAGATTGGGTAAATACCCTGCAAGTAAATATTTGTCGGATGCAGCAGTTGCAGGCATGGAAATGTTCAGCAACCAAAAGGCGCCGGTAAGCTCTCAACCCGCGTTAGCCCTGTGCTAATTAACAGGGTTGCTATGGCGGTGGTGGTTTTGCTGGGCTCGTGTTTAGCGATAGCACGGTCTCGGTCTCGTCGCTTCCTTTCACTCCAAGCTGCTCCAGCAGCTGCCAGGGCTCCCCACCCTTTTCTGCCCAGGAGGCACCGTCCTGGGCTCAGACTCCAGGCTGAGACCCGGTTGTGCCCAAAGGGGTGCCCAGGTCTAATCCATCCCTCCCCAGCGAGACCAGACCCCACCTTGTAGACCTGCCAAGGCATCCCCAGGCCACTCGCTCCTGGCAGGGGCTCCACACCAGCTGCCTGCACAGTAGCACTGTGAGCAGGGAAAGGAGTTAACATTTAATAACCGTTAAGAACATACCAGTGCTTGGTCACTGCTTTTTCCCCTAAGACAGCAGCAAAGTCAGCAGGCGCTGTTCAGAGACGTACCGGACTATTGCACTGCATGGCTGCGCTGGAAAACAAACCTGGGCTGGTCAGGCAGGACTCGAGGAGCAGATGATCTCGAGTGGAGCTAAGCCTTTCTCCTGCTGGTTTCGCTGTCTGCACTGGATGCTCGGCAGGTTCTGTTCCAGCCTTTTCCCGGTTTGGATGCGCTTCCTGTGGTGAGCCGTCCTCCACAGCCCTGAGCCCAAGGGCTGCTGGGTCCGTGGGGCTGTGCCAGCCTGACCAGCAAACGCAGTCACGTTTTGTAAAGGGTAAGATTTATTACACAAAACACAATTCTGGGTTAACGCAGTCTCTGTGTTTTAAACATTTACAACCGCCAGTGCTTTTCTGGAGACCCTTTGACATGGCAGCGAATGATAAAAATACCTGTGATGCGCGAAGCAGCGGTGCCCGTGGGAGCCCAGGGCTGCAGCCTACGTGGACAAGAAGTCGCTGAGGCAGCAGCCGGTCTGTGCGTCCTTCAGGAGCGCGTTGACCACGTCGTAGAACTTGAGGTCGTACGCCAGTCTGTAGTAGGTGTAGACGTCTTCACAGTGCGTGAGCAGCTTCTTCAGGTTTTTCAGAGCGGCCTCAGTAGGTGGGTGCTGCTTAACTCTGAAAATCATTGTAGGTGGATTTGAAACTGGCTTCACAGACAACCACTGTAAGGCTGTCTTGCTGCAGAGACACAAGCACTGCTTAAACAGGCTGTGCTCAACAGGTACACTGCGTTTTCTTGGTGATTTTGCCCTAAGCCCTAAGGCAGCTCCTCACCCAGCTCAGCCAGACCCAGTGCCATGTCCACAGTGTGAGCCCAAGCCCCTACGCACTGCGCTTTCTTACATAAAAGGTTCTAACAGAACTAAGACGTGCGTGTTATAAACGCACGCTTGCTCCTCTAAAGTAGCCCATGGAAAAGCAAGTCTGGGTTTGCCCACAGAGCTACTCACTTCTTTGCAATCTCCTCAAAAATGCCAGGCTTCAGTGGTCGCTGCTGTTTGAATTCCTCCAAGTAAGCGAAGTCTCCCTTGGTGATCACTTGTTGGTAGAGAACCTCAGCCCAATCTGGGACAAACTCGTACGCCTCGGCCACGATAGCCGCCTGCAGGGAGAGCAGAGCCCGGGGTTACTGAGCAGGAAGAGTTTATTGCACAGAAACATTCCTATACTTGAAATATTCTAGGTCTGCTGTTGGGCCCATCTCCTGGTGCTGTTCTTGAGAGCAGCTGCATTACAGAGAAATGCAAGGGTAAAAAGCACTGCAAATAATTTTCCTTAACCCCTAAACAAGATGCTCTCATTAAAAAAAAACCCTTTTCCATTTCCAGAATGATGGGTGCCAATGTAGACAAGATTTCAGGGCTCTAGTGTAGAACAAGAGCCGCTGGAGAGCCAAGGCCCTGGCTGTGAAAAGCATCGGTCCACACCAGGAGCTGCAGCAACCTGATGGGCTGACAGCCACGGGACTCGGTGGCCACATGGAAGAGCTGGGTGTTACGGGAGCAGCCTGCCTCAGTACCCGCTGCTTGAAACCACTGCTTCTGGGAAACAGCAGCTGAGGAACCAAGCTCACCTGATAGAACCTGGGCAAGGCCACGATGGTGTCCATCAGGTCCTGCCCGCTCAGGTTGATGAGCCGCGTGCTCTGCCCGCTGCTGAGGAAATGCAGCTGCAGCGTGATCAGCTTGGTGAGCCGGCTGCAGCGCAGCGACTGGCGGACACAGGAGTCCTGGGTAACAAATCAGAGACAAGTGCAAGCTTCTGAAGCATGGCTCTAGAGGAAAGCAATAAATACTCCTGAGAGCAACACCGAGTTCAGCGGTGGGCAGTAATTCACATGGCAAGCTTCACTCACCACAGCTACCCCTGTTTTCATCATCCCACCAGTTTAGATTGTATTCTTGCCGGCTAAGCTTTCAAACTGGGGAACCTCACGGTCACCCCAGATGCTGAAGCCTGCAGAGGGACCAGGGTCCTGCTCCATGGCAGCGTGACCACTGGGACACTGCTGAGCAGAGACTCCTTTGTTCCTGGGACCGGACCTGCACCCCCAGAGCAGCCTCTGCTTTGCTCTCCCACTTCAGCTCCCTCCTTACGTGCGGTACAGAAGTCACACAGATCTCATTTTACCTTAGAATAACTTTCTGCTGCATCAATAAAGAGTGTCAGGGCTTTCATCAGCAGTTTCTTTAAATGTGCAATATCCTGAAGTGACTCCTCTGAAATGGGGAGGAAAAAAACGAATAACCAATTATTTATAAAAGCAAGTGAGAAAAATACCTCTTGGTACCACGTCTGTCCCTAGGGGTGCTTCACAAAGCAACAAAAGACTAAAATGTTCGTATTGAAAAAGCACAAAGAAGCGGTGATGCCTGCTCAGTCAATGGACCAGAGCCATTGCTGGAGCCCAGTCAAGTGACTGGAGAGCTGAAAAGAAACCCAGGTCGTGTATTTGTGGCACGTACCAGCACTGACCATGACCAGAAAACCATTTCAGTTGTCATTACAATGACAGATGTCACCGTCAAGTGACAGTGTTAGGGAGTTCTCCTACCAAACACAACCCCAACACTTTATACACACACTGTACAACCACTGTCACATCCTACGGCAGTGAGGAACACCTCACGTGTCCTCACCTCCTCCCACACGTGGTACCACAGTGTTGAGGTTTACTTACATTACAGCAAGACCCAAAAATCTCAACTCTGAAAAGTCCCCGAGCAGCAGCAGCAGCTGAACTGGGAAATACAGGAACACCCCAAGCCTGGCCAACAGGACCCTCCTCCTTCAGAGAGCGGGGGTTTCATGGCTGCTACCAGGACAGCAGGCGACCAAACCACGTTCACCCACTGCCTTCCCTCTTACCACGCCTGCTTGTCCCGTTTTCGCAGCCTCCACTCACCCCACGGCTGAGACTTGATGAGTTTTAGCTGCGTGCATGCAGCAGCCTCGTGGTTCTCCCCGATTTCCCGACACATGCTGAAGCACAGGGCGATCATGTTGTGCTTCTCGCTGTCCCCGGGCCGACAGCGCTTGATGTAATCCAGCAGAGCTGTCTTCAGCGTCCCGCTCTGCTCAGGGGAGGGAAGAACAGATTGAGATCTGAAAAGCTTTTGTAAATTCACATTTCAGTACACAGAAAAGCAAAGCCGTTCTGGTCCAGTTTTCCAGAAGCCATCATTCCACTCTCTGAGGTTTCTCTGTACTATTTTAAAATGTAATGGCAGTATTACACTTGGGCTTACCCATATTGTGCCAGGTAAGAAAACCCAGCACCTACACATTTATTTCTGTTACACGCTGGCATTTATTTACGTTACAACAAAGCTCTAAGCGTTTATGATTTTCAGAAGCCCATGAAGCATTAACTGGCAGTAAAACCAAAACAGGACGTGAATATTCCCCAGCTTGAAGTTTCAACGCTGCTCTCTGAACTAATGTGAACAAACTTGTTAAACTGAAAACGTAATAAACCCCAGAATGAATCACTGTGAATCTCGAACAACCCCTCCTGCACTCCAGTAATGACAACCTCCAGATAATTCCACCTCGTGTCAACAGCAGTTTGTGGCGCAGCCACCCCGTTCTCTCCCCTTCATCCCCCTGCACCTACCGGGTCCAATTTCTTCCTCATGAGCACTTCGAAGTAGTGCTTCTCGTGCAGCAGCTCAAAGATGTAGGTCATTTCGTTGTATCTGCCGATGCCGGTGAGAAGACGAACCTGGGGAAACAACAGCGATCGTACGAAGCTCCAAGCAAAGCAGAAAACCCCCTCGAAGCAGCAGCAGGGGAGGCAGCGTGAGGCTTTACTTTGAACCCCACTCACTGCACCTTCCTTCCTGTGAGCTGGAAGGACATCATTTACCACATAAAACACGCAGTGAAGCTCTGAGCAATGACAGCACCGCATGGGGCGCGTCTCAGACTCACACAGCATCCGGAGGAGCGCACGTGGCGCCGCACACACCTACCATGAGCCCGTACTCCTCGCGAGGGGCCAAGTGCTCATCGGTGAGCAGCCGCGCTGCTCGCAGGACTCTGGTGATCCCTTCCATGTGGCAAGTCAGGCTAAAGCAACTGTGGGCCAAAATCAGCAACTCTGTAACTGAAGAGCAGAAGGACTCAGTTATGTCAGTGAATCGGGAAGTCAATTATGTGATGTTACGCTGTTCTTATGCCTCTCTCCACCTCTGCAGAGGGTACACAACCTTTCCAGCGGGAAACAGCAGAACTGGACTACAAAGTGGAGCTGTTCTGGTTCTGTCCCATGCACATTCTCAGTGCGTGGGGAAATCTGGATCTTTTTAGACAACAGCCTAAATAAATAAGTAACAGATCTCATTTTGCCACTGAGTTTCCCAGCCGTTGGCACAAAACCCCCTGTATTTTTGCTGGAAAGTGATGCAACGCTTAAGCAACGCACTTATTTACTGTGCACATCCTCAGGTCTACTGATTTAATATCGAATTTGAGGACAGTAACAGATGCTTCCTCCAGCCTTGCCTTTATTCTTTGCGATGGGATTCTAAACCACCTTTAGTAACGCAGTGGTTACATCAAGCGCTCTTTGCTGTGTACTCACTGCAGGACAGCTCCCCGCGCGGCACCGAGGAGATTTTATCCAGTAACCTCATGCCAACCAAGGTGTGGTCCTGGCACAGCTTGGCGAGCTGCAGGAACGCCTGGCTCTCAGCCGTGGGGTTCACAACCTGCTTCTGCCCTGGCCACGGAGAAAGGGATACATTACAACCACTACTTGTTAGAGATCAGCTATGGTAACAGAAAAACCCCAAACCAACTGATAAAACTTAATCCAGACTGACTCCGGATGTGGAACTACAATTCTAAAGACACACTGGATTTCGCTGCTTAAATTTAAGAATCAGATATGACTTCTTTGCCAGTGAAATCCACTGAAATCCCAACTGTTTCCACTGCAATTTCACAGCTCCAGCCGGCTGCTGCTGCTCCTCTTCCCTACCCCACCCCACCACGCCCTTTCC